AACGAATAAATATATATGAATAACAAATATACTTACACATATATGACATATACTATACATTTTTTTTCTAATGGGTGAAAATGGTATGGTAACTCCGCCTGCGCTAACGGGATACGCTGGCGGAGCACCAGTGAAGGGTGATAGATGAGAATGAAAACAGGCTAGTTAGCCCATCATGATGAATTCATTAGGAATTAACCATGATAGTTTCCAGGGAGAACCGCGAGGAGGTCGACCTGGTTGGGTATATTGCTAGCAATGGGATTCTCAGTCTCTATTACTAACAATCCCTTTCCCCCATATACTATATTGTACATACTACCCATCCCTCGCCCTCTCTTAGTCGCCTCTTACGACACCCACACAGATAGTTTACGAAAATTAATGTTAGGTAAAAGTTAGATAAGGTCATTTTAAATAAAATATTTCCATCTAATTTCTAGATCTCATTGTCTTCCTATCGATTGAATAACACAAGCTGTTCTCTGCAAGTACTTTTTGATGCCACCTTAATTCTCTGTACTGATTTATTCTTATAACGGGCGGTCACGGCATTAGGCGGTCGATAAGGTCAGCGTGTTTCCCCTCAAGACAGTTTGTAGGTTTTTTTTTTTATATTGGATGACAATGGAATGGTAACCCTGCCTGCGCTAACGGTATACACTGGCGGGGTACCAGTGAGGAATGATAGGCGAGAATGAAAAGGCAGGTTATTTAGTTGTCGTGATGAATATACTTGGAATTCAACACGCCAGTTTCCAGAGGGGACCACGTGGAAGTCGATCTGACAGGGTATATTTTTACCAATGGGACTGTCCGCGTTACTAACAATCCCTTCCCTCCCGTCTTGTAGGTTTTTTTTAATGGATAATAATGGAATGGTAACACCGTTTGCGCTAACTGTATAAGCTGGCGGTACACCAGTGAGGGATGAATAGTGAGAATGAAAAGGCAGGTCAGTTAGCCCATCGTGACGAATTCAAGGATAAATTAGTCACGATTGTTTCCAGGGGGAATCGCGTGGAGGTCGACCTGATAGGGTATATTGCTAGCAAAGAGGCTATTAAACACCATCATTAACAATTCCCTTCCCCCCAGCTTGTGGGTTTAGGTAGAGCCATCTACTCGTTTAAAAGTATTTTACTTAATTACTATCTACATATTTATGCAACACATTTATATATATATATATATATATTAAATTTTTTACTGGGTATTATTTAGTTTATATTTAATTGTACGGTTATTACCCTTGTACATTTTATAATTTTCTTTCAGCTTCTCAAAGGTTAACTGTAAGAGATCCCTTCATGGGATAAATTTGCCATTGTATATTAAATCATTTATCAGTGTTCAATTTGAATTATGTACAATAAAGATTTTACAATACATTTTAAAAATCCATTCACGGGAAAGATCGACCGAGTTTAGGAATGGCTTATTATATATATAAATAAAGCCAAGTGTGTTAGCACTGTTTTTTTTCTATGGTTTAAATACCTTTAGAGCTATTATGACTAGAGGGAGACTTTGTACAAAAGTCGATTGCTTGGGTACCTCTGTCCCATTCGTGTTTCAACCGTGAAGCAGTTGTGTCTGCATGCCTGTGTTTCGGTTTGAAGGGTGGGATATGGCGTGAATTTACTGGGTACAGAGGAATAACACCTGAGTCCTCAGGAATGGCAACGCATGGGGGGTATCATGGGCGAAACGGTATACTCTGTTATGTCCACTGTACTGCTCATGTCTATAGGCGAAGGTTACTATGTTCCATCAGGTGGGCCGTCAGCTTGTTGCGTCAGCTTGTGCCGGCACCAGTGAAGAATGATAGGTTAAAATGAAGTAGGTCAGTTAGCCCATCGTGACGAATTCAACAAGAATTGTTCACGATGGTTTCCAGGGGAACCACGTGGAGGTCGACCTAATAAGGTGTATTGCTAGCAATGGGGCTGTCAAACTCCATTGCTAACAATCCTTTTCCCCCCTAAATGTGGGATTTACTCAAGTGCATTTAATGAAACTTTACCAGTGATGGTCAAACGAGCCAATGCCTTGCGGAGGCCCTTAGAAACAACAAGTTTAAGATGATTGGGGGCGGGACGCAAACTCGTGTGACTTTCGCACACTACTCCAAGTGCCTGTTACGAGATCTGTCCACAGAGTGTAAACTTGCAGTGGTTAACTTAGATAGAGGGTGACTTTGTACAAAAGTCGATTGCTTAGGTACCTCTGTCCCATTCGTGTTTCAACCGTGAAGCAGTTGTGTCTGCATGGCTGTGTTTCGGTTTGAAGCGTGGGATATGGCGTGAATTTACTGGGCACAGAGGAATAACACCTGAGTCCTCAGGAATGGCAACGCATGGGCGAAACGGTGTACCCTGTTATGTCCATGGTATTGCTTATGTCTATAGGCGACGGTTATTACTTTCCATCAGGTGGGCCGTCAGTTTGTTTGCCATTCTGAGTTGTATAAATATATATATATATATATAAATATAAATATATATATATATATATATATATATATATATATATATATATTTGACACACCGAATTACCAAAAGTGGCAACCTACTTAGACATAGAGTGTGAGAAACTACAGTGAAGATTATGGTACTTCTCATGCGTCACTGAACCCGTGAAAGATCTTATGTCTTGGCACCTAACAATTTCAATCTAGTGTCCCACTATTCTAACCGATCATTTCTGCACGTAGGTAGTCTGTGACGTGCCCGTGGGAGTCGTATCAGTAAATTTACATGTCGTTGGGTGCGTACTCGACACACACACCGGTAGTGAGTCGGGACGCCTCGGTACAGCCGTCAGATCGTCTCGGCTAGTGTTCCCGCGCATCTCCCGTTCTGCGCCCGCGATCGCGTGCTCCCGCGGCCTGTATGTGCCTCGAAATCCCGTCTATTAAAACCAACTGTTCGTACGTAAACATAATTATATTTTGATTAAAATTAGAATATTTTTATCTATGTTCTTTTAAAAAAACATATAATCTATGCCATAAATATATTACATATGGCTATTACGTCGATAATAATTGGTTATACCGGGAAAAGTAAGCGTTGAAATTATATTTGATTGTTATATATGCTGTCTAGTTGAAGCTATTTTCAAATCATATAGGAATAGGTTATCTACTAAATTAGTTTTACATTTTGGGCACTTAACTTACCTTGTCATAAAAAAAACACCATGACCTTCTTATATCTAAATAAATTTAATTAATTCTTTGAATTTACGAACTAATATATTATTAATAGGATTTTTTTTTAGCCACAGACAGATTGTTGGTATCTCTTTATTAAATAATTACTAGTATTTTGTTTGAAAACTGGTGAAAATGAATATGTAATACAATTACAGTTGTGTTAACATTGCATTTAAATCTCAGATTTAAATCTAACTATAATGAAATATATATTTGAATTTGTCTTAATTTTCTAAAATATTTTTATCAAGCGCTGTTTAAACGCATGCATTAATTGTACTAGTTCACTATCAAGTTAGTTGCTATAGATAGATTCGTTTTTAAAAATTAATTAGTAAGTCTATTCAATTTTGTCACCCATTAAAAAAAAATATATATATCAATGTTTTTTTTTAATGGGTGAAAATGGAATGACAATCCCGCTTGCTATATCGGTATACACTCGCGGGGCACCAGTGAGAGATGATACGCGAGAAGTTAGTCCATCGTGACCAATTCTACAAGAGTTAATCATGATGGTTTCCGGAGGGTACCGCGTGGAGGTCGACCTGATTTAGCAATAAACCCCTTATTGTTAGAAATAGGGCTTGTATATCCCATTACTAGTAATCCGTTTCCTCCACTCAATAAGTGTTGGTTTAAAGCAGTTTTATGTCCGTGATACGTTATTTGAATGCAATACGTATGCCCTTATCCGTCTCACATACTACGTGTATACAAAGTTTAATCACGATTGATTCAGCCGTTACAGTAGCGTGTAACGTTAGCAAGCATTCCGTTGTCTGTTTCGCGCCTATCACGAATTTTATATAGATATTTTATATAACACCATTTTTCTTCGGGGCGCAATAAATAGATTCATTCACAGTGGAGTATTTTTGTCCGACTGCTAAAGAGAAATAGCTAATGTGTTCGGGTTTATGCATATGTAACTCCGTATATGTATTGCGTTTGATGGATTTTAACAAACGCGCTGTTATTGGATATAGAATAGAACAGAACAGAATAGAATTTTTCTTCTATTTTTTTTTATTATTTATTGCATTGTTATAGACTATTATCAGATCTGGCTTTAACTGTCCACTGCTGAACATAAGTCTTCTTCTTGGGGGGTTTTACCAGTAGTTGTCACGCTTGACAGATGGATTGACAACCGCACCGCTAGGCTTTTTTTTTATTGTGGCTTCCCCCTAGGAGGACGCTTTTTACCGGATATTAAGTTCCAGGTTATGCATCTATTACTTTTAATTATTTAGCTAGTTTCCTTAGATTTTTTCTTTTTTTTTTCTAGCTTTCTAGCAGCTAGGCTTTGGAGATGTTTTAGCAGGGACGCCGCTGCCCATCTCTCGCCCAGCTTGAGTCGCCCTTACGATACCCACGGGAAAGGAAGTGGTGATCTACTCTGTGCCTGGACCACACGTTATAGACTGTAGTATGGTGTAAAAAGTGGAGTTATTAGCTATTTTGTTTGTTCTAAAATTAATATTTTTTTTTAAAGAAGGTCTAAAATGTTTTATGCCGCGTCAGTATGGAGGTTGGAAATTGATTGTAATTTTTTTTACAATGTGTCTTTGGGGGAATGATTTCGATTCTGATGATTTTGATTGGAGAATACTCCATTAAAAGTATGCTATTTTGATTTCATTGTCACAAGAGTATTTTCCTGTATAATTTATTATACCAGACGTTAACTGTCCATTGCTGATTATAGGTCACCCCCGTGAGCGTAGCAACTAGTGTCGTACATTTTGACAGTAGTTTTTTTTTAAATGGATGATAATGGAATGGTAACCCCACCCGCGCTATCGGTATACACCGGCGGGGCACCACTGAAGGATGATAGGTGAGGATGAAATAGGTCAGTTAGCCCATCGTGACGAATTCAACAAGAATTGTTCACGATGGTTTCCAGGGGGAACCACGTGGAGGTCGACCTAATAAGGTATATTGCTAGCAATGGGGCTGTCAAACTCCATTGCTAACAATCCTTTTCCCCCTTTTTGACAGTAGTTGCCACGATTGGCGGGCGGGTTGGCAACCGCAATTAAGGTTTTAGTGATATTTTACGAGGGACTGTGCTGCCCATCCTAGGACTAATGGAAGTAAAGGGTCGTGATCCTTTACTTTTCTTATTCGCTACTTACAATATCCATGGAGTAGGAAGGGGTAGACCATTCTATGCTGGGTATTTTTCCTGTATAATGGATAGTATGAAATAAAATATGGTAATTCAAAATGCTAAATAGTTTCAAATATTGTTTTTCTATAGAAAAGGTCCTTGATCTTAATATTGATTTTACTGACGTTAAATTTTTTTTTGTAAGTTATTGATGCCCATTAATTCTTCTCTTTCCGCGTCTAGGGAAAGTAGATAAAGTTTTGTTTGAGAAATCAGTTCAGGGTACAATAGGACTGATATACCTGGAGAAGGTAAAAGCCCTTAAAATAATAATAATAATAAAAAAATCGGGATTACCTGATCACCAATGATCACTATTTCAAATTTATATTCCTTTTCTTTTATATTAACACCCGCCCACTATGTATTTTTTATTATAACACATTTGTGATTTGTTGTCGGGTGCCCACGATACAGGTTCGCCTAGTGCGGGGCCCATTGTATCTGTGTTTTTGTAACTTTGTGTTTTTGTCAAATAATACTCGTACATTCGTGTTTCTACCGTGAAGCAGTTGTGTTTGCATGGCTGTGTTTCGGTTCGAAGGGTGGGATATGGCGTGAATTTACTGGGTACAGAGGAATATCACCAGAGTCCTCAGGAATGGCAACGCATGGGGGGTATCATGGGTGAAACAGTATACTCTGTTATGTCCATGGTACTGCTCATGTCTATAGGCGACGGTGACCACTTTCCATCAGGTGGGCCGTCAACTTGTTTGCCATTCTAAGTTGTATAAAAAAAAACATTCTTATTCTATTATATTTTTCTCACGTATACTAGTTTCTAGTTAAAAAAGATTAATAATTAATAAAAAATATTTTCACCTTTTTCTCTGGTGTATTGCCAGCTTATTAGTCATTCTAAATTGTATACGGATCACGTTTTTTGGCATTTATACTGAATTTTATAGAGATAACTGTCGCCACTTCAGTACTGATATAATGTAAACGGATGATAGATTTGAAGTAAATAAACCATTTAACTTCATTTCATTAGATGTAGCGACATGGGACAATTCCATTGAACATTGACTACAAGTCGTGTATCCATTAATTGGTGGTCAGAAAATTTATTCGCATTAGACATTTTGTATATGTATATATATATATATATATATATATATATATATATATATATATATATATGTATGTATGTATATATTACTGATAAATATCATAATAATATGGTTTTTTTAATACTTAAAATAATTTACATGATTACTATACGTTTCTTTTTTTTTATTGGATGATAAAGGTATGGTACCGCCTGCGCTAACGGGATACGCTGGCTGGCTGGATGAAAACAGGCCAGTTAGCCCATCATGATGAATTCATCTAGAATTAATCATGATAGTTTCCAGGGGGAACCGCGAGGAGGTCGGCCTGGTTGGGTATATTGCTAGCAATGGGATTCTCAGTCTCCATTACTAACAATCCCTTTCCCCCCGATTAATATACGTTAGTTTGTATGATAAATGTAATGAAACAATTTAAACGTAATTATCTAAGATGGATTTTAAAAATGTATAATTCATTGAACTATATTATATTATACATATTAGCAATATTTAAAATTTCTATTATTATAATAAAAGAATAGAAATATCTAAAGCAATAATTGTGAACCAATGAAGGAAATATGGCATTCTTTTTTTAACAAACCCTAAGTTATAAAATGTAAGAAAAAAGTACAAAATAACAAGAAGAATATATATAGAAGTTTTTGTAAAATAATACAAGTGTTTTCCTTATAATATCGATACCGTGAAACAATTTAAAATAGTAAACAAATTATTTAAAAACAATAAGGTTTAAATAAATAAACAAGAAACATCATCAATACTGAAACCAAATTAAAATGTTTAATTACACAACAACGATAGTTTTAAATACTTATGTACTTTAAAAATAGAGTGCAATAACTTAAAATCCAAATGTTAATAATCAAACTTTTTTGTCAGTTTAAAAACGCAACCGTAGTAGTCACGGAGATTTACACGAGTGACGTCACAATCTTAGAAACGGGGCAACGACCTCCGCGGCATTCGATTTATTAAAATACCTCTCATTCTAGATGGCGCTTTGTAAATTGACGATAAATTAAACGGACTTGGCATGTTTATAATAATAATAATAATAAATTTATTTATTAAGACAACATACAAGTCCAATTTGTTAGTTATAATTTATTTAACCTATGTAAATGTGTGGTCAAGACACTCTTATTTTGTAAGCTGTCCCACTCAAGATTTTAAAATAGGACAGTCCAATTTACTGGCAATTGCCTCCAGGACAATGTTCGAATTAGCACACACCCTGCCTAACAGTGAAGCAATTCGTATGCGTCGTATTGTATGAAAAACGTCAGTGTTCTCTCGCGCAAACATGACGCACTAGGCGACGGGACAGGCCCAAAACAAAAATGTCCTGAAGATATTATAATATTGGACTAGAAGAGTATTGTAGGTCTTTTGATAATAGATCATCCACAGGCTACTCGTGTAGAATACTTGACAAAAAGTTTTAAAAAGGG